GCTTTCAAGTTGTTTCCAACATATGGTGACTGACTGCAAGGCGAACCTGTGATAGGGTTTTCTTGGCAAGTTTTTTTCAGAGGGAGTTTACCATTGCCATCCTTTGAGGCTGAGAGAGTGTGACTTGCCAAAAAGACACCCAGTTGGTTTCATGACTGAGCAGGGATTTGAACCCTGTTCTCCAGAGTCTCTCATATCAGTCATGAAACCAACTGGGTGTCCTTCAGCAAGTCACACTCTCTCAGCCTCAGAGGATGGCAATACACACACAATATTATATATGAATAATACATATATGGAATCATAAGAGTTGGAAGGTGTCTCCTCAGCCACAGATCCAGACTTAGCACATCTCCAGCGATGGTGACCCCACATCAGTGGGTGAAAGCACTACTCCAGATTTTAGTCTAAACTGTAAAGGAACTGTCCGAGGTGCTGGACTCTGTCCCAATATAAATTGAGGATCATGGACAGCGCCTTTGCAATCAGAACTGAAACCAGGGTGGATTCACTGCCCCACTGTTTAGTGGTGGATTTCTGCATTGGCAAGAGGGTCAGGCTGGATGACCACTAGGTTCTTTACCCATAGTATGATCCTGTAACACAGGAGCTTGTAGTCACTACTGCATATCCTTGCCAGCTGGCTGTGCTTGGAGGCTTCAAGCAAGACTGCTCATCTTCTATGCAACTGACTCCATTTTCAGACACCTTCCCATCAATATGTTTCTTCTAATGCCCACACAAAATCTACATTTCTGTAAAATCTTGCCACATCTAGTATTGCCTTCTAGGGGCAGCAGAGAGCCACTCATTGCTCTCTACTGCTTCTCAGCCCTTCAGGATAGAAGAATACTTTTGGGTTCCAAACTGTGTTATTTTTATACCAATTTTATATTGCTTGGTTGTTAGCCACTTTTTTTCTTCTGAAGGAAAGGCAGGCAGTCTCTTTTATTTCTCTCTCTTTTTTCTCCTCCAAATGTAACTCGATCAAGGAAAGATTATTGCTCAGGTAAAGGTATTCAACTATAGTACATATTTCAAATTTTTGCAACCATAGGTCAGCTTACCCAGATTTTTTTTCCCTGGTGAAAACAGCCTTGGGATGTAAGGGATTTAAAAACTGCAAATGGAAACAGATGTGCTGAACTTCTGTGCTGGATTGCTACAATAAGTGATTTAGATCCCTGGAGATGCTTACTCCAGAGAAACTCCATGATCATTCTGGAAGAAAAGACTTGGAAACCAAAGACAAAGAAAATTAAAATTTTTAAAAGATGCTCCATTCTCTCCAGCTATGAATGAAGCTAGGTCACACTTTTTTTGTTCCTTTAGAGAATGTTAGTTCAGATGGAATAAGATGGAAAAGATACTGGAATTCGTTGAGGAAAAAGCATTGCATTGGGATGATCTTTGCAATGCATTCGTGAAAGCAAGTCTCTTCCATCTTGGGAGTGAAATGGGGAAATCCTGCCCATCTCTTTTAATTCTAACCTGTATGTGTGACATGCATATTTTGGGATATGGAGCAAAGGGAAAGAATGGGAAAAATTGAATTTTCAGTGCAAATCTGTGCATGCAGTCAGCCCTACATATCTACAGATAGTTTATCCACTGATTCAAGTATCCATGGCTTGAATTTTTTTTTACTATGTATATATATGTATAAATTCCAAAAAGCAAACCTTGATTTTGCTATTTTATATAAGGGATACAATTTCACTATGCTATTGTGTTTAATGGGACTTGAGCATCTACAGATTTTTTTATCCACAGGATACCAAGGGCCTGCTGTATTTATGTAACATTGTGTTCCCTTCTGCTGACAGCATCCCCTCCAACATTTCACAGATGAAAACTGAGATGTGTATGGCCAAGCAACAACAGAGTATGGTTGAGATGCCAGAAGTTATTTAAAAGGAAGAATAAGACACGCTAGCAGTTTGCTTTTGCCTAAGTCTACAGGGAAAGGGCCAATTGCCCAGACAAGGCTGCATTTTATCACTATGTTTATCTTGTCTGGTGAACATATATGAAAAGGCAGGATCAGACTCGGAAGAAAGAGGCATGAAAACTGGAGGAAAGAATAGTAACAGTTTAAGATATAATAATAATAATAATAATAATTTTTATTTTTATCCCGCTCCTCTGGGTGCAATTGAGGCGGCTAACAAAAGTTAAAATTACAAATTATATAATACATCCCAATACCCTACCCTCCCTTAAAACAGTATTAAATCAGACATAGGATTAAAACATATTAAATTAAAACAACAGTAGTTAAAAACATAAAATAAACAAGATCAGATGAATAAAAAAAAAACCAAATAGAGGGAAAGTGGCAAGAATCATAATTGGGGAAAGGAGTGAGTAGCAGGAATTTCTTGAGGCCGGGACATCTATCCTACCATAAAATAGCAAAGACTTGGAACAATTAAGGAAGAAGGTCAAAGAAGAAAGTGTAAAAACGGGTTTACAGCTGAATATTAAGAAGACAAAAATGATGATCACATGATTTGTTGTGTGCCTTCAAGTCATTTCTGATCTATGGCGAACCTATCATGTTTGGGGTTTTTTTGGGGGTTTTTTTTGGCAAGATTTGTTCAGAGGTTTGCCTTCCCCTGAGGCTGAGAGTATGTGACTTGCCTAAAGTCAGCCAGTGGGTTTCATAGCCCAGCTGAGAATCAAACCCTGGTCTCCACAGTCCAACACTCAAACCACTACACCACACTGGCTCTACATCACTTTAAAGTAGACAATGAAGATGCTGAAAGAGTTCAAGATTTCCCATTCCTTGGCTGAGTCATGAATCAGAATGGAGACTGCAGTCAAGAAATCAGAAGAAGACTAAGATTTGGAAGGGCAGCTATGAAGGAACTAGACAAGATCCAGAAGTGTAACAATATATCATTGAATATTAATATTAGAATTGTTCATACCCTTGTATTTCTAATTTCTATGTATGGTTGCGAAAGCTGGACAGTGAAGAAAGCTGATAGGAAGAAAATAAAACCCATTAGAAATATGACGCAGGAGAAGATACCATGGACCGCTAGAAAGATAAATCAATGGATCCTACAGCAAATCAAGCCTAAACTGTCCCTAGAAGCCAAGATGACTAAACTGAGACTGTCGTATCATAGGAAGACATGACTCACTAGAAAAGATAGTCAGGTAGAAGGCAATAGGAAAAGAGAAAGACTTTACTCCTGGTAGATAGACTCCATCAAGGAAACTATTGTCTGAGTCTTCAAGACCTGAACAGGGCTGTTAATAAGAGAGTGACTTGGAGGTCTATCATTCATAGGGTTGCCATAAGTCGAAGTCGATTTGATTGTAGTTAACACAAACGATGGTAGGGACGGGAAAGATTTCATTGACTCTTGGCCTCTCCCTGCTGCTGAGTTAGTTCCATGCAATCGGGGATGCTTTGATTGGGAGTTCCTGCATGGCAGGGGGGTTGGACTGGATGGCCCTTGTGGTCTATTCCAACTCTATGACTCTAATGTCCTTTTGCACTTTGAACTCAGTTTGCAGCCACTGAAGTCATCTGACGATAAAGGGGGAAAGTGGGAGGAGGAGAGAGAAACTAGGACATTTTTAAGCATCTCAAAAAATGGGACAGCAGAGGATTATCAGGATTGCTTCTGCCAAATTGGGATAGTTGGAAGGTATGTGGCAGGTAAGTATGCAGTACAACCTCACAAATGCAATCCTAGGCATGTTTACTTGAAAGAATGGCGTATTGTGCCCAATGATGCTTATGTTCCAACATGAGCACAGGACTTTAGGCTCAGCTGATCAGACAGAAACAAAGAATGTCTCTGCATTCCACAGAACAGCTTCACCCCCTTTTATTGTTTGGGCTTCGGCCTATGGGACTGTGGGATTTGTAGTTTGGTGAGGTTCTTAGACTTCTCAGAATTGTGGTTCAGTGGAGGGTACTGGAGAATTCAGAGTGTACTAGCAGAGAATTCTAAGTCCAACATCAAGCTACAAACCTCAGGATTCCATAGGCTGGAGTGATAGCAATTAAAGTGCTATCAAATTGGTACTGTTCTCTGGTGCAGATGCACTTAAGAGTGAGTGAACTGGAGACTGCTGGAGGCATTGTGTCACCACTTGCTCTAGATGGTATGGGTGTAAGCACACAGGATTAGGTAGATAGCATTCTGTTCCAGTAGTCATACTGGCTACTGGAATGCCCTTAAAGACATGGGAGTGCCAACATATCTG